GGAAGGAGCAATGAGCGCGTGGTACGATATGGCTCCCAATTGGAGAGGTTAGAGGATAGCTGGTGCTAGTGTTAGGATCCCGGGAAGGGGCCAATGAGCGCCTGGTCCGTTATGGCGCGTCAAAACAATCCCCTTCCAGCAAGCGTCGCTGGCTCCGGCCGAGATAATCGGTGGGTCCGGTCGAAGTAGAGATAGGGTTCGTATATCTTTGACGAGGGTTGATTTTTTTTGCGGGGCTCTTATTTGAATAGGGGAAATGGGTAAATGACTCTTACAATAAAGAGTTTTCCGCGATTATGGAATTATTTCTTAAACTGTTTGGTTGCACGTGCACGAACAGGCGCATGCAGGTTCGCGCCTGTCTGGCGTCTGATGGGACGTGTGAAAAGCTGGCGTATATTACGTCAGAACGAGAAACTTCGAAAAAATTCTATGAGAGTTTTGATCGCATGGATATTTGATGAATAAAATGTTTATTTGAAAAATTTGTTTGTATGTTTTTCATAAACATGTGCGTGCATGCGTGAGTAGCTACGACGTAGAGTAAATGCACTGATAAAGAACTATTTACTGTGCTCGATGATATATAAAAATTATTTGTAATTTTGGAAAATGCTTGTTAATTTGTCGTCTAAACAAAAAGAGTGGTGGTAAAATAAGTTGATACTTATGCGCACAAGAGAGTAGAAACGGTATAAATAGAGCAACAAAACGAAGCAACAAAACGCAGAGCATTATTCTGCTGCAAATTACGGGTGACAAACGTGGTATCTTATTACGCTGTTAATATCTGTTAAAGTAACAAGTGAGAAGAAATGTTGGTGAATAGTGAAAAACAACACCAGCAATTTATATCCAGTTCCAAATCGCACGCGAGAATCAGCGAGAAGCAAAATGGTAGACACGAGATGCTGCTTTTCACCGTGTATGGATTGAATAATTCGTATACAAAGAGAATTCAAGTAGGATTGCTCCCAGATGTACAAGACGGATTGTTTTATCCTGCTATTAAACTATGTGGAAATGGAACAAATACCATTTGGCTTGATGCGGATGCATGGAAGAAATTTCAAGACATCATGTCGTTAATAAGCTTGTACTTGGACGGAGGTAAATACAAGACGGAGCCAATTGTAATAAATAATATCACATTTACTACGGCGTATGGAGCGAAACCCATATTAATTTCACATAAAGAATCTAGAGAAGAAGAAACAACCAACAGCGATACAGCAAGAGAGGAAAAAGATTCGGATTGTTCTAAAGCGAAGAAGCGGAAGATATTTACTGCCTCCATCGTTATGCAAAAACCAACATTTCTCGGTCTGCAGAATATAGCGCAATGTGTTAATGCGTATAAACACTTAGAGACATTAGCGAGTAGTGTTACCAAATGTTCTAAGTATTTAATACAAGAAACAGAATTGTTACTCCCGAAAGCCTATGTAAACGCAGATATTGTCAAATTAACAATCAGAGGTAATTACAGCGATATCAAACAGGCTGTACGGATACAAATTAAAAATTTGGCGTTTTTAGATACGTACTTCAGCTTGGTATTTCTCGAAATGAGCACGAGTTATTTGGACGATGTTGTTCACATTATTTTAACAAAGCGATAGAAATAATGACTTTTCTCGTTTTGCAGGTATACAAAAATTATGTTTCAATGTGAATAAAAGAAAAAAAATAAAAAGTATAGTCTTGTTACGTCCTGGCCCACGGTTACGGTCGGGCTATGGTGGAGTAACAGAGAGCTGTCATTTTTCTGTCTCCGCAGCAGGTAGGCGATTCTGTTGCAGCAGAGTCGAGCGAGTTTGTATGCTCTCACGGACAGGTCAACGGCGTATGCCGATCTTACTCTGTTCTATGAGGCCCCGCTCGTCGGTCTCTTTTTAAGTCTAGAAATTCAACTTTACTGACTAAGGACGAGACCGTGCGATCAATTGAGGATGTGGAGAGTGAGAGGTCGATTTAATAAAATGAATTAATTATGTGGAATATTAATTTATTCATATCGCGTATTCGTTTCGTTACAGATTTCTTCGGTTGATGTGATATAGCGTGGATGGATGTTGTGTCGCGAATTTTACAAAGAATCGGAAGGTCATCGCTCGGAGGCGGAAGGGAGAAAAGACGTATGTATATATGTGTGTGTGTGTGTGTGTCACGAGAGCGTGTAGAGGGCTCCCGGCGGGGTTCTACAAATGTAAGTATGTCGGGAGGAAGTGTGTGGTGCCGATTCGTAACATGGTTAATTAGATTAATCCAAGTTGATTTCTATAATTTCACGGATTTCTATGGAGCTAGAAGGAAAAATGGTATAAAAATGACGGACTGAGACAAGTCGGATGTCACTGAGATACGGGAATCAGACGGGGAAGAGTTTTCTAGATGGAGTTGTAGATATCAGGTGAAAGAGATCGGAGAGATCGATTCTTAGTGGGTCTATTAGATAAAGTATTTTATTAGGATCTGCGATTCGATAGGTGGAGGCTAATTTGAGGAAATATTGTAATTTAAAGTCGAGCGGTGAGGTGATCGGTCGAGAGGAATCGGCATCTTCGTCATCCGCGTGATTTTCGTCAGGACGAGAGGGCTCAAGGGGCGCTGGAGAGGAGAGCGAGGAGGTGAAAGCGGTGGATTGCTCGCGGGAGGAACAGGGGTGGGTAGAGTATCTGCGGGAGGATCGGGACTTATAGGTGAGTAAGAAGGGGATTCATACCGCAAATCGTCGTCGTGGTGTGTGTCTGTATGTATGTCGCCGTGTGAGGTTGCGTGAGAGGTGCTTGTGTGCGAGTGCGTCGGTGAGTGTGAGTGCTCGTGAAATGGACTTGTGTGCGTATCGCAGGGGTTTTTTATATTATTGTCGTTGTTGTTGTTATTATCTGCGTGGTCAACGTTGGATCGTTTCTCGAGGGTGGTAGGCGTCGGACGGTTGGGCCTGTCCGGCTCAGTTTTGCTCAAGGCGAGCGCGGCGGCTCAGCGCAAGGCTCGGTTCCGCCGATTGCGTCGAGCCTTTATTGTCGCCCGTGAAGTGTATTTGCGAGGTTCCACTTAAATCAATTATTTAATTGATAAGCTGCAAGAGTCTTATTTGCTTGAGTAACCCGCAGTTGAGCCTTCAAGGTGCGAGGAGAGGAAGAAAAAATTTGTTTTTTCGGCAAGTTTCTTGTACGCTGAGAATACGAAATTAAAATGGAGAATCGGAGATTATCCTGAGCTATTCAAAACCGCGGATGCCTATCAAAAGTCATCCAGAACGATTCAGGATCGCGGATATCTTCTCTGATTAAAGAAGGAAGTGAGAGGCTATCCAGAGCGATTCAGGATCGCGGATGTCTATCAGAAGTCATCCAGAACGATTCAGGATCGCGGATATCCTCTCTGATTAAGGAAGGAGGTGAGATGCTATCTTAGACAGTTCAGTACTGCGGCTGTTGTGTCTGATTCGTGCGAGACTTTATCGTTTTTATTTCGCGATTATGTTTCTCGGAGCTCTCTGAAGAGCAGCTGCGAGTTTCTCTCTTTTCCTCAATCTCTACTTCTAGTTCGTGGAACCTCAGTAATCAATTGGTTTCTTAAAAGCACTTACTACTTAGTTAAGCGGCAGCGGTGTCAGGTTGACTGCAGGCACTCGGGAGTGGAGGGTTGAAAACCAGTGCGGCTTCGGTGTCCTGGTTTTGGCACTCACTGCACCGAACTTCACTTTTGAGACTCTTTGCACCACGACACTCCCGACTCCTAAAATCAGCGGCTCTTATATGATTCCGGTTCTGAGAGTCCCGGCTTATATACAATTTTGAGTAAGCGGGGACTCTCTTAATCGAAAAACTCAGTTGAGCTTTGCTATTTCCTTTGTTAGTTAGTGGTCGGGTAAACTTCGTGAGATCGCCAATCGGTGACGATCTCTCGCCTTGGTCGGTTTGTCCAATTTTTCGGAGAAGGGAAAAGGGAGAGTGTTAGTTTTCGATCACGCCACATAGACTCTTTGCTATTTGTTTATAATAAAATTTTTGTGTATTATTCATGGCGCCGGAGTTCTATTTGCCCCGGCTGCTCTAAATTTTATAAGCGGTGTTCTTCTTGGCCTGGAGATATCCGGGTTTGTTTCAAAAGCTGCTCAGAGTGTTTAAACAATACATTTTTCTNGCTCGTTATAGCAAAATTCCGGGTTATTACTAGGCGCGGTTTATCTTTTCGGGCGCCGATATGATTTTTGTTTGCTCTCCTATCGTTTGAAGTCTAAGTTTCCGATAGGAGACCCGTTCAAGTTATTTATTGCTTTTCATTATTTACTAAGAAAAGGGTTTGTTATGCGTTGCAAGAAAAAGGAGACCGTGGAGTCTCTAGGACGTAACAGTCTTTTTAATAAAATAAATGCATGAGTATATTGTTCTTTATTATTCTCCGAACCTGTTCTATTCGTGCGCGCGCTATTCTGGAAAGACGAAAATTAAAACGATTTTTGCGTCGTCCGTGCGCTCATAGAAAATAAATGATAAATTTCTTGATATAAGTTGTTTTTATTGTGCATCTTGGCGCAGCGTGTCTTCACGTACTCGGCTATGTCAAAGATTTTTTGCAGGCAGACTTGAAGTCGTAAATTTTCGTATATCTCAAGTCCTGTGACCCTCTGTTACGGTCCGGGATGTAGTTAGTGTTACACGTTTTAGAGAAACGCAAAGGGCGTCTTTTATCTCGAGAATAAATGACAGAAACTATGTCTGAGTAACAGACCAATATGCGAGTCGCCTTCATTTATTACACCCCGGTTCTAAAATTTTTGACAGCACTATGGAAACCGCGCCTAAACGATGTTTTTCATCTGATGACGAAACTCGACTGGCCCAGTGGTCTCGCGGCCTCAGTGCAGGGGCTGCGAACCCGGAGGTCCCGAGTTCGAATCCGCTCACCATCTAAAGCCCGTGTCACACTACGTATTGCGGACGTAGATTAGATTGGGATTGCGGATCACTGGATTCGGATTCGTTGTTCACACTACGGATTCAATTGTCTGCTGCAGAGTCTTCCAATTGATCACGTGACTGCATATTTTAACTAGAGNCACAACTGCATTAAACCTTATTACCAGATACGTGATATTCTTATGTTTCTAATAATATTTGCTATTATGTGGAAAGCATCTTAGCATCTTATCATTTGTTGTGGTCATCTTATTATTTGGTGTGGTCATTTGGACATATAATGGGTCCAAAAAGTGATTTGTTTTCTAAAAACATTGAATGCAAATTATNTAATTAATACACATGATGAGAGAATATCCTTTGTTGTGGATACAACAATTGAAGAATATCGTCGAACTGATTTAAAAGAGACTGCATTGAGATCAAATAGCACAAGTTCTAGGTCTCAAAGACGCTGTGTGCAAGTTAGCTCTGGTCTGCTATGGATCAAATGAAAATGTTCAGTATACAACATAATTTTTGGTACAAAAAAAAACGAAAAAGAGAGAAATTGTTTTTCATGCCTGTTATTTGTAATAATGGCTGAAGACNAATCGCGTAAGCGGAAAATGTGGGTGTCTAAGTGGATAACAGGAAGAAAAGAAAAAGGTTTGCATCATAATCTGTTTTTGGAACTTGCATTAGAAGATCCTAATCGGTTCAGAAGGTAAGCTATAAATTATAGAATATAACTGAATTTAAAACGATAATGGAAAATTTGTATTGCAACAACTTGTTCATTTAGATGCCTCAGAATGGATGTACACACTTTTGAATATCTCTTGAAGAAAATTACACCTCTAATCAAGAAGCAAAACACTCATTTACGAGAAAGCATTTCACCTAATGAAAGGTTATCGGTGACTTTGCGACATTTAGCAACAGGTAAAAAATAAACAATAAAATCGATTGATGATAGTTGTATATTTTGTAATCAAATCTGTTGTCTGTACATGTCACATTCCAAAGGAGAAACTCAAGAATCGTTAGCTCTCACATTCAGACTTGGAAGAAGTACCATTTCAAACATTATAAAAGAAGTCACAACAGCAATAACTATAGTTTTAAAAGAAGAATTTCTTCGCTTTCCTTACACTGAAGATGAATGGCGTGTAATTAGCAATGATTTTGGAGAGCAATGGAATTTTCATCATGTAATTGGAGCACTAGATGGAAAACATTGTGTTATTGATCCTCCACTACAATNTGGATCTATGTTTTATAATTATAAAGGAGATTATAGTGTAGTATTATTGGCTTTAGTGGATGCACAATTACGGTTTATTTATGTGNATGTAGGGACTAATGGCAGAGTGAGTGACTCTGGTGTTTGGAATAAGTGCTCTCTCAAACATCATTTAGATAAAGGTACTCTAAATATTCCTCCTCCTGCTCCATTGCCAGGTACACAAGACAAGTTTCCTTTTGTGATTNTTGGGGATGGAGGGTTTTCGTTATCAGAGAAACTGTTAATGCCATATCCAAAACCGCAATGTACTGGGATGATAAACAGAAGAATATTTAATTATAAGTATGTGGATTATTAATATTAATGTTTTCACTTGTTTGTCAAATCAACTGAAACACTGAAATATTACTNTACTCATGTGTTATAGATTATCTAGAGCTCGGCGGTGTTCCGAAAATGCTTTTGGTGTTATGGCTGCTCGTTTCCAAATTTTTCGATCTGCAATGCGATATGNTCCGGATAACGCAAGTACAATCATTTTAAGTATATGTTGTTTGCATAACATGCTACGAAGTCAATCTATTGGACGAGCTATGTATACACCATCTTCATTTCTTGATGGAGAAGATGTAATTTCTGGTGAATTTCGACGTGGGGAGTGGAGAGCCNAAAACGCAAGAGGGATGATTAATTTAGCTCATCAAGGTGGCAATCGTCATCCAACTCAAGCAATAGTACTTAGAAACANGTGGTGCGATTATTTTAATACTATTGGTGCAGTTCCTTGGCAAGAGCGAATGGTGCAATAAATTATAATTCTTGGAAACACTAAATATAAGCATACTTGTCTTATTCAAAAGTATATTATTAAGTTCAAAAATGTATTATAGAAACTGTTTTATATTATAAATATATATGTATTATTATTTATTAATATATGTATCTTATTATGTATGTGTAATATATTGCAAAATAAAACTCATATGCATATATATACTTTCTTTATTTCTTANAATATTATTATAGACTTATTCGTACAGTCTTACTCATATAACGTTCTATATAGTCTTTTATACAGTCTTCGTCAAAATCAATATATATATATCCTTATCTTTGACAACAAATAAAAACTTTGACAAAAAATAAAACTATAAATCACACNGTGTAACATAATATACAACTTAAAAAACACTATATAAACTTCAAAGCAAATGACAGTACTGTCATTTAAAACACGGGTAACTTTGAACAATTTGTTACAGGTAAAATGTCTATAACTGAGTAAGCTTTCTAAGCAATATGTTCATATAAATATTCAATTAATAATACGATAAACTATGATAACATAATCACAAAGTATATAATTAGTAATAAGATCTTGAGATATTGCTTATAATGTANGCTGCGTTAATACTTTTAAGATTTCTCTTTCATAATATTCTCGATCATTTTGAGTCATTGATCGAAGCCTAGATGCGATGTATNATCCAAGTATATCAAATGTATCCATTTTTGGAGGAGACACGTTTTCTTCAGCCATAGTTTTTATAGCATTAACGGCATCTTCCATTAGTTTAACTTTCTTGGAATTTCCTCGTTTCACATACAATGAATTCTTAGTAGGGCATTTAGTATTTAGTGGAGCTAATACAGATCTAGAAGAAGTATCTCTTTGAAGAGAAAGATCTGATGTATCATGTATTTCGCTTGAACTAGCAAGTGATTGGCTAGCAGACGTAGTCATAATTGATGCTGGATCTGGGCTGAGTTCTGATATGTATGAATCTGTTTCTACAGAGGGTGATGTTTGACCACTAGTGTTATAGTTATATTCATCAGATGGAAGAAGCACATATTCCTAAAAATAAAAATCAACATACATTAAACAATATTTATACAAAACAAGACTAAACATATTTTTATACTAATGATATTGAACACAAGTGTTAATTGGCAAAAACATTATATTTACATAACAGNGTAAACAAAATATAAATTACAGTTTTATACTTACTTCTGTATTTGTATTATAATAAATATTTGNAAGCTGTGATGATGTCTTTTGCACATTGGTATTAGAAATATGAGGAACAGGTGAATGATTCACCATCTCTTGACTAGATATNGACATATGACTTTGTGACAGATTATCAATACTGTCACCTTGTGGACACCTTTTTTTTAAAAATAAGAGCATATCATAATATTCCCACTTTGGTTTGTAAATTTCATCTGTTCCTTTCCCACTACAACGAGCTTTTGATTCTTTTATTTTTCTTTCATTTGCACGAAAAGTACTTTCCATATTTTGAAACCGCTTGCAAACTATATCTCCTGCAATAATACAATGAAAATAATATAATAAGCATAAAGAAAATATGAAAAATAAAGTAAAACAAATACTAAGTAAATAACATGAGTTTTAATAACATCAATAAAAGATTTCAACATAACATTGCAACTATTCAACATCGTATAGTCTCTATATTATTCATATTTTTACCTCAAACTCAATAATATAATAAATTAGTTTAAGATCAATCAATCATACATACCTGTAAATTTGGAACCTAAAGCTTGTGCTATTTGATCCCAATGCAGTCTTTTTAAATCAGTTCGGCGATATTCTTCAATTGTTGTATCCCACAACAAGGGATATTCTCTCACCATGTGTATTAATTTGCATTCGATGTCTTTAGAAAACAAATCATTTTTTGGACCTATTGTATGTCCAAATGACCACACCAAATGATAAGATGACCACAACAAATGATAAGATGATAAGATGCTTTCCACAATAATAAATATTATTAAAACACAATAAGCAAATATTATTAGAAACATAAGAATATCACGTATCTGGCAATAAGATTTGGTTGTGGCTCTAGTTAAAATTAAAACACAGAATGAACAGAATTTAAATGACTCCTGTATAGACTTGTCAGTTATCACTAATTTTGCTTCTCCGTCCATGAACGGGTCACGTGACTACAATTCAGTATTTTATTGGTTTAGATCACGCATTATGGATCGCAAAAATAGAAAGCCGTCTATCCTGCAATCTGCAATCCGGATCCGAAGCTGCCTCGTATTGATTGGCTAACTTCTGATCCGCAATCTGCAATCCCGATCCAATCCAGGGTACCGATTGTGTATTTATGCAAAGTAGTGAAAATTACAAAAGTGAGAAAGTTTACTAGTTGTCGACTAATAAAATCACAGATATTTTAGTAAGTTTTCTCACTTTTGTAATTTTCACTACTTCGCATAAATACACAATCGGTACCCAGGTCCGCAATACGTAGTGTGACACGGGCTTAAGAATTTTTTCCGGGCCGGTTCCTTTCAACCGAGTTTATCGGTTGATTGGCGAACTAAATCGGACCTCCAAAAATTAATTCGGGTGTAATTCCGAATTAATTCCTCCCTCCCACAAGGCGATTGTAGTCACAACATCCCGAGCACGAGCCCGACACAGATGGGCACGCCCACTGTGAAAGAAACCCGTGTATCGCGTGGTAGTAGGAACAAAAACTGCACAGTTTGATTTCGAAGGTTGACTATTAGGTAGGTAGGTACCTTAGAGGTAGTATCCTATACATACTCCTCTTTGATATCGTTATTTGAATTACTGTGACTAAGCCCAAAGAAAAAACACTTGATTTCGTAGAAGAATTATAAGCCTAATAAGACAAAAAAGTCCTCTGTGTCACTATATATACTTAAATAAAAAAAAAATAAAAAAAAAAAAAAGAGAGAGACAAAACTCGATAGGATTTCTAGAGTACTCGGTGTTTTGTCACTTTGCGACATCTTGGCTCCAACCGCTTGTGATTTTTGGGGGCAAAACGGGGTATAAAAGTTCTGTTGCAACGAGAACGAAACACAGTCTGTTTCCAGAGCAAGAGAAGTAAGTATATTTTAAAAGTTTTAAAAGTGATTGAAGATAAGTAAGACGTCGGGTAGTAATATTAGATAAATAATCCTATTCGCGATATAGTGTAATCGACTGCTTGAAGACTTACGCGAACTAACGGCGTTTATAGTAAACGGTGGTGATAATATTGAGGTGTTTAGAAATATTGCGTTTCGCGTACATTGTCTGCAAATGGCGTGCGAAGCAGCAGAACTTCGCACAACGTTTAACCACGAGGAGGAAGACGTGAGTGGACTAATCGCGCGCATGGTAGCCGATGGCGACGGTAAGTGTCAAATTTTAGTAATTTTGTATGTTTTTTATGCTTAAAGATTCTCTCTGATATAATGAGTGGGTAATTTTCATTTTAGCAAACAAAATTGTCGAAATACCGGAGATGGTGCGAACACCGGGGCCGAGGATATCTTATCTTGCTGGTGCTCTTTGACAGCAGCACCAGCAGCAAGCAGCAGAAAGATACGAGCGAGGTAGAGAGCGTGCCGCGGAACACGACGCTGCTTGTACCTCGTCGTTCTAGCGCGGAATCTCGCCCGATAGCGCGAGTATCACCAATGCGGCCGAGATATCACCTTTTTGTACGGCGATGACGAGAAGGGGTTTGAGAAGAAGAAGAAGAAGCAAACGAGCCTCCTTTGCGTAAGTATAAGTAAAACAAGAATTATTAACGCTAGAATAAAAAATATATTAACTAATGTTTTCAAATTTTAGTAAGAGCGCGTAGAAGTAAAACGGAGCTTCCTCCTGCTCTTCCTGTAGCGGCTCCTCCTGCTGATTCTGGTAAGTAAAACTAACTAAATATTTAAAACATTATTTTGGAAAAATGTATGCGAGATGACGGATAGGCAGCAGCGATGGTGACAGCAGCAAGGATTGCGGATGTGATGGTCGTGTATTAAAGGTTTTTCTGTAATTTGAAAGAACACTTTATTTACACTTTGTACAAGTCTTTTGGTTTTTATAATGAGGCCCTAAAAAAGGTCGTTTTAGTGGTGGCCCTGAAAAGAGTCTTTTTATTTTTCTTGGCGCCTTGTGTTCTCTCGCCAAAAGATCCGGTGCTTTGCAGTTGTTAATCGTCACTCTTTGGAAATTTTTCGGGTCGGCGAGCTCGGTGGCGTGGCCGGATGACCGGTTTACGTGGGCGTAGACGCTGACTCCTTAGCGATGATCAGTGAGCTCGGTGGTGTTGCCGGAGCTCTGTTGGCGTAGCCGTAAATGTTGATTCCTTAGCGATGTCGGCTTGGCACGCCTGCTCTGCAGTAGAGAATCGCTACTGCTTGTCCTTGGTCCTACAGCGAGCTCGGCGTGTCTGCGTTGCCACGTGTTGAAACTCCTTGCGTTGCGGCGGTAAAGCCGAAGGTGTCAGCGGGCGACCGAAGTCTATCGGCGAAGAGGTTCTCCCTTGTGGCGGCGGTGGTGAGAAGTCCAGCCGGATAAGCCGCCACGGTAAAAATTCCTCTTCCTTGAGCGGTGCTATAGACCCGAGTGTTCGGGGTCGGTCAGTGCTTCTGGAGGACCTAGGATCTTGTGGCGGAATGCCTTAATTAATTTCTCCAATTAATGGAGAAAAGAGATCTCGGAGAGATCTGCGCTCAAATCGAGTAGCGAGCGGATGATGATCGATGATCCGTCGATGGTCGTCTTATCTAGACGCCGGGGTAATTGTCTCTTGCGGGCGAGCTGGCGCCGTCGTGTGCCGCGTAGTGGCAACGCGCTGAACTAGCTGCGCTGCGGCGGCTGCGGGCACCAAGCTTAAGGCCGCCTCGCTGCTCGCGTAATATGTTTGTGGTGTAAACTTGCACCACAATTATGATGAGAAATGTAGAGAAAATAGAATATATACATTATATACATATATATATATATGTGTGTGTGTGTGTGTATTAATTTTTTTCAGATGATGAAGTGCAAATGGTATTGCACATCAGGCGAGCGCCAGGGACAGTGTCGGATCATTATCAACTGGCAGAAGCGGAAGAACACCGTCAATGGGTGTCGGAGGAGCTTCGAAGAAGGCGGAAAGAGACAGAAATAGAAAGACAATCTCTACGAGCGGGAAACAGTCCGCTTGTCGGAGATCGAAAACAATGGCAACGACACTGAGAACGACGCTGACACCGGTGCCGACGAAAACGAGGACAACGAAAGCGACGCCGAAAACGCAGAAAACGCCGACAACACCGACGACGAAGACGCCGACAACGCCGACAAATGAGAGCGCAGAAGACTCCGACGAAGACGAGAATGAAGATTTCGTTGAGGAAGCGGGGGAAGGGTCGGGAGGTGATTATTTAGATATTATTATATAGATATAGATATATATTATTTCAATATATTATTATATAAAAAGTATTATATAAAAAGCATTGTAAAGAAAGTATTATATAGAAATTAGTATATATATAGAATATATTCTATATATATATACAGGGTGACCAATGGGAATGTGTTGAAAGTAAATAGTTATATATCCCTTTCTCGATTTCGATAACTGTTTTACCGACTAGGGTCCGCTACCTAAGACCCGTCAATTTCATTTGAACCGTCGTATAAACCGATTTGCGAGTTATAGGATGGACGCGCTAAGCATCGAAGAAAAAGTGTTTCTCATCGAGTGCTTCTATAGTAGAGGC